ATTGCTGTTGTTGTTGTTGTTGCTGCTGCTGCTGCTGCTGTTGCTACTGCTTGCAAGGTCGCTACGACTGCTGCTGATCTGGTTGGTGCTACTGCCACCATAGATGCTGCGATTGCTGCTGTAACTGGTGTTGTTGCTGCTGCTGCTGCTGCTACTGCTGCTGCTGCTGCTGCTGTCGAGGGAGCGGCCAGATGGAGCTGGCCTTTCAACAGGTCTTTCCTCTGCTGCTGCTGCTGCAGCATCTGCTGCGGCAGAATCTGCTGTTGCAGTATCTGTTGCTGCAGTATCTGCTGCTACAGCATCTGCTGCTGCAGCATCTGCTGCTGCAGCATCTGCTGCTGCAGCATCTGCTGCTGCAGCATCTGCTGCTGTGGCAGGATGTGATGCAGCAGGATGCACTGCTGCAGGATCTGCCGCTGCAGCACCTGCTACTGCAGTATCTGCGGTTGCAGCATCTGCTGCGGCAGTATCTGCGGTTGCAGCATCTGCTGCGGCAGTATCTGCAGCAGCAGCATCTGCTGTTGCAGCTTCTGCAGCAGGAGCAGCAATATTGTCTGCTCCTGCTTCTGCTGCTAGCATAAACTGTGTGTCATCTGCTGCTGCTGCTGCTCCCACTTGTGCTGCAGCTGCTGCAGCTGGTGCTTCTGCTGCAACTTGACTAGGTGCATAGTCAGTGGCTGCTGCTTCTACTGTTCCTGCAACTCCTGCTTCTGCTGCTGCTGCTGTTGCTGCTGCTGCTGCTGGATCCGTCTGTTGGGAGCTTTGGTCCTCTGGTGCTGCTGCGGCAGAATCAGAAGCAGCCGCAGCAGCAAATTGACGCGTGCTCCCTTCCTCCATCAGAGCTTCTGCTGCTGCTGCTGCGGCTGCTGCTGCAGCTCGTATCACTGCGGGGCCCCTCTTGCTGCTGCTGCTGCTGCTGCTGCAAATGCTGCTATTACTTCTATAATAAGACCTTAAAGGAAAAACAGCAGCAACGACAGAAGAAGAGATAATGAGTACTGTAAGAGGAGTCCCAGTGTATGAGCGACTGCTGCTGCTGCTGCTGCTGTGCTGCTGCTGTTGTGCTGCGGCTACTGCTGCTGCTACTACTACTACTGCTGCTGCTTCACGTCAAAGAGAAGACACAGGAGTAGGAAGGATAATCGCCACTGCCACATTTCGGTGAAAACTCCCTGTTGCGGCTACTGCTGCTGCTGCTGCTGCTGCTGCGGGGCTGGCTGCTGCTGCCCCTCGCCTAAACTAGCAGCAAAGTGTTTGTCACTCTTCCTTTGCATGCAAATTAATAATTAATTATGTTATTAAGTATACTTCGAGCCTTAGATTGCTGCTGCTACTGCTACTGCAGCTCCTCCTACAACTGCGCTAGCGGCAGCTGCAGCAGCAGCTGCTGCTGCTGCTGTTGTTACAATAGCCGGAGGAAAACTAGCAGCAGCAACTGCTGCTGCTGCTGTTACTGCTGCTGCCAGTTACTGCGGCTCTTAAGTACCACCGGGACTCCGAATAACGGACACAAGTGTGTAGCTGCTACTTCTGCTGCTGCTGCTACTGATGCTGCTGTTGCTGCTGCTTCCGTTGTATATAGATCCCGCTGTTACTCCTGCTGCTACTGTGTGTGTGTGTGTGTGTAATTGCTGCTGATTGATGTATCCTTATGGCTTATGTAGCTGTTGCTGCATTTGCTGCTGCTACAACTACTGCTTCTACAGCAGCTCCTGATGTTGCTCGTGCTGCTGCTGCTGCTGCTGCTTCTACTGCTGCTGCTTCTGCTCAATAAAGTAACAAGAAGAGCAGCGCGCATGCAGATTTAATGCAAAGGAACGTCTTAATTTAAAATTATTTCCCCTCTTAGGCGTTTGTTGCTTTTCCTGCATGCGTGCGTGTCTTAGCAGCAGCAGCAGTAGCAGCTGCTGCTGCTGCTGCTGCTTGCTGCAGCGGGTGCTCCATTGCCGTGGTTTGCTCCTTGTTACTCCTGCTGATGTTTGCTGCTATGCTTCTCTGTTGGATAAAATTATTTAACATCAACAGCAGCAGCAGCAGCAGCAGCAACAGCAACAGCAGCAGCAACAGCAACAGCAAGAGCAAGAGCAACAGCAACAGCAACAGCAGCAACGGCAATATGCTTGTATGTGTTACCTTTAGATAGATACAACAATTTAATTTTTATGTCTTTGTTTGCCTTTATTGCCTAATAGATAAATATATTTACCTATTATTTATTTATTTTATATTTATTTTATATTTATACCTTAATAAATAATAATAATAATAATAACAATAATAATAATAATAATAATAATAATAATAACTATTATTATTATTATTATACACATATACATATACATATACATATACATATACATATACATATACATATACATATACATATACATATACATAATACATATACATATACATATACGTATGCATATACATATACATGTACATACACATATATATATCCATATACATATACGTATATATATTTACCAACAAAGAATAA